TTAAAACTGTAAAGTGATTGACAGAAAATGAATCTTCAGATAGTTGTGGTAGTCTTTAAAGTGTTTTTATGGAAGCAAAACTGCCAAAAACTAATTTGGTCTGCCACTTAATAACTTTTTAGACATTTTTTTGAAACTGAAACTGGCAAAAATTTGCTCATTCCAGCCTCTAAAATGTAAGTTTTTGCTCATTTTCTTAGTCTTCTCTCAGGCTAAGCTTGAGTTTTGAACTGTTATTTGCAAAAAAAACACCCAAACCGAATACACCACCTCGGTTTTGTGAACTTGTGATAGATATTAATTGAGGGAACTATTAAATTAACTGACAGAGAAATTAATCTTTAGTTGCAGCTCTACTTTCAAGTTGCTTTGTATTTCTTTGTATATCTGAGTGTGATGTTTCACAGAACATGACAGATTAACCTCATCGCATTGGGAATTACGAAATCACTTCTAAAATGATGCTCACTTTTAGGCAAACATTCACAGATGTGGCTGAATCAGAGCTGACAAAGTAATTTCCCAGACACCACATGCTGCTTTAGCACATACATCTCACTTTCAGTTGCGGTATTCAGATAAATATATGATTGATTTCCTGTAGCTGCTCCATTATGGTGTAAACAGATACAGTCGGTTGACCTGTAGTTAAATACTAATTAACAGCTAATTGCTCCACATGCTGTTTGTTTGTAAAATCTTAATCTGCAAAGTAACCTGGAGCGATAGCTGTCAACTAAGTCAAGCTGAATAAAAAGTACCTAATTGTTTTCTGAAATGCAGTGCATATAGCGGCACAAAATGGAAATATTTAAGTAAAGTTTAATTACAAATCGATTTTCACTGGCCATTCCCCATAAACTCCCAACATCACTGCAAATTAACAACAAAAGTACGTCGTAGAGTACAGCAATGATATAATACTAGTAAAGTAATCGATTACATTCATCCTCTGTATTGCACCAAAGTACAATTCTAAGATGCTTGATCCTTACTTGGTTTTTCCATTTATACTTTATTCAGTTACAGTCACTTTGCATGTAAAGAGTTCATAAACAAATCATGTAATCAGCCTAAAAAATGGTGTGCATATGCAAGTGAACAGCTGAAATGAACTGTATTTTAATTAGTTACAGGATAAAAATATGGCATACACCTTAATGCGCAAATACATATCATTCAATAACATACTATCTGTAGCATGATGACACAATGTTTATGAAGCAACCACTTTGCATAAGGAATTACTTTAAACACTTTAAGTCCTGATAATGTTCATATATCAGTGAGAGAAATTAAACAAATGTAATTTACTTGAGAGGTGCAACCATTAACTGATAATCTGTCAACTATTAAATTAATGAGCAACAGTTTTAATAGTAAATCAATCTATCTGAATGCATTTTATACATTTTTCTAAATAAGACAGCTTTTTAAACGTGAATATTTTCTGGTGTTTTTTCTCCTCCTTGACAGTCGACTGGCTATCTTGAGGACAAAACGAGACAGTTCCCTGACTAACATTTCTCACCATTTTCTGACATTTTAAAGACCAATTAACTAATTCAACAAATCTCATTTTGCTGCAGCCCTACTTTAGCATTACCACACACGTCCTGCTTCTTCTACCTGATGCTGGTTTATACTTCTGCCTCACAAGATTTTAGATGAAAATGTGCTTTTCATTGCACTGCGTTGATCTGACAGGTGCACATACAAGCTGATGGAAAGAACGGAAAATGAAATAAAACAGCAAGAAAATAATCATCATGAACCCAGTTTGTTAGACAGGAAGGCATCAATCATAGTCACACTCCACACACTGTACATGTTACTTATACACTTTGGACATTCGTACACTCTTTATGATGTTTTCCCCTTTTTCCACTTGGACGTGATCATTGTACTGCACTTTTACTTTTTCACTACTGGTTAGATGCTAAACTGCATTAAGTTGTCTATTTGCATTGTAATGAAAATAAAGTTGAATGTAATCTACTAATCTGATCTGATATAAATAGAATGAGTACTTTTATTTTGCAGCTAATATTTTCACTTTACGTCATTGAACACTGGTTTAAGCATCTTTCCTTCTCCTCTCATGACATCCTGCATTATTATTAAATCACATAAAACAAAAACAATTAAATGATTAAGAAAAAAAACACATCCACTGTGTCAGACCACTTCCAGTCTACTCACACTTGTTGACAGAGGAGGAGAGGTGGGGGAATAAACTCTGGATTAATCCTGCGAGTTAATAAATACACGGTTTGAATGATCCCGGTGTAAAAGTTTTACCCGGACGGGCGCTAATGTTTGACCGCTCGGCAGTGACGTTATCCCGGCGTAAAAAACCCAGAGAGAGAGGAGAGGGGGGCTCCGGCTGGAGCTCCGCTGAGCGCACCGCTGGAGTTAAAAGCAAAAATGTAGGAATTTGAGCGAAGAAATGCGAGACATTTGAGGAATGTTATCTCCGACAGAAGTGACTCAAAGAGAAGGCGGCGAAATACTGACTTCACATCCACGTTACTCAACAGACTGGAAGTTGACAGACGGCGCAGGTTAATATCTGGACGACACTTTAAAACACTTGCTAGCTTACCTGGAGGAACTCTGTTGGCAGGCGCGGAGGCAGGCAGGTACGGCTGAATTTAATTTGTTTTAATAGTATTTTTAAATGAAGAGTGACTCCGTAGGGTTGTTATTTCTTTCTTCTTTTTTTTTTTTTTCTTCTTTCTTTGTTTGTTTTCTGCTGCCTCGTCTCCTTCCTGGAGCCGCTTGTTTGAAGCGAGAGGAGGGCAGGAATTTCAGGAATTAGCCGTGGTATGACATGAAGCCTGGAAAAAGCCCGAGAAAAAGAGCAAGGGAGGGAAGGAGGGGGGGAGACAGAGGAGGGGAGAGGAGGTCTGACCGGTCAACACGTAATGACGACGAGGAGGAGGAGGAGAGGAGAGGAGAGGAGGGAAGGAGGGAGGGAAGGAGACAGGGGGGAGGAGGAGGGGGGCTCTGGAGAGGAAAGGAAAGAGAGGGGGGTTCAAAGGAAATCACATCAGGAATAAAAAAAAAACAGCACAGTGCTGAGGAAGAGGGACAAACAGGATCATATGAGCACTCAAGTTACAACAAAAGTACATCAGAGTGACATTTTTAGTCTTGTTTCTAATAGTAAAGAAGTTTATTAAAGTGTATCTACAACTATAGAACTTTGACCCACACACTGAATTTGTAAAAGGCACATTATAAAGTCTATTTGTCTGCCTTTCAATAAAAAGGCCTTGTTGAATCATAGCTGTTTATATTTAATCTGTCTTAATTATACCAGTTTATCTGAGCACACTTTGCTATTAAGTTTGCAGTTTGTTAAAGAAATAAATCACGTCATAGTAAGTTAAACAGATAATATTCAATATGCTGGAAAGCTACAAGTTTAATGTTTAGGCTCAACAACAACAAAAAATATGCAACAGTTTGCTTCAGTCTTCTTGGTTTCTGTTCAAATGAAACTATGTTCAACCCATGATCCATATTGTTTTTCCTCTTCAATCGATTATATTTTCAGTTACCAGTTGTTTAATAATTGGTTGTATAAACACGGTTTTAAGTTTTTCAGGACTTGATATCACGTCAATTTAATTTATTTACAACTTGATAAAAAAAAAATCAATTAAAGTTTTGGTTTAAATTACACTCAATGTTAAGTTGGTTTAATTTCCCATTTTAATATGTCAATATAATTCATTAAAAAAAACAATGTTTGTAACCTATAAGGTTGGTCAAAAACCAATACATGTGACTTTTTTTTTTATCTTAATTAAGTGGCATTAACAGGTCCCCTAAACCAGTTTTAGGAGGGAATCTTGCCCAGTTGTCCATCCGTGTGGCCGTTTCTCAGGTGTTTTAATAAATATAAATGTTGTCACTGTAATGCTTCTCTTTCTTTTTCGAAAAACTTAATAAACTTACACAAAATAAAGATTTGTAAAACATTTTGGTAGCGTGCCACCAGTAACCTCTTACTTTTCACTTCCATTTTTTCCCTATCTTTCCGCACATGAGCAGACAAAGGCAATAATGTTGTTGGACCTGGGCAGGTTGTGTAAGTCATTAAAGGTCTGGAGGCATAATTGTCTCAGATGTAATTCTGAACTTCGCACTCGGCAACATGTGCAAGACAACATGTTCTGGGTGACAGAGCCGCCCGCTGGGTGTTGAGGGTATTGCAAAGTGTTGGTTTAATTCAAAATCTGACACCACAAACATTATCATTTTTTAAAAATATATATGGATGATGTTGTAATGTCGGATTTTATTCCAATTACATATTGTCTAAGCAATTATTCAGTTTATTTTAATTATTGTTGAGAGTCATGGCTCAAATTTTGTCTTGCAGATTTATAAAACACAGAAAGCCAAGTGAATGTAAAACCAGGTGCAATGCAAACACCAAATGCAATCTGATATTAATAAATGATCAGTTACCACATTGTCCATCCAATATTTTCTTTTTCTGTGTTGAGATCTCCACCACTTTATTGTATTCATTAAATCTTAAGATCCAGTTTGTTGCATTTGTGGGTTTGTTCTCTTTCTTTTAATCTGTTGCTCCAACTTAAAGGTGTTGTTGCTTCATATTGTGAGTTTAATGGTTTTTTCCCACCCCCACTAGTTACTTTTACCAGTAAGGACGGACTTAAGGGTCAAAAATTTTTTAGACTATGCTTCCATAAAGTTGTTACCCTAACTTCAGCAACACCAAACCTATTCCTATATATGTAGTCATGCCTAATCTAAAAAACACTACTTCCATAGATTCCACTGTTTTATGACGTGAATGGTAGAGATTGAAATTCTGGTCATGTGGTATTCCCACCCACCTTCCAACTTTATGTTTGCTAAAAGTGATATCACATTTAAAATTTAAAATGATGTATTGAATTCATGTAGTAGCTCAAACACTGGAATATGTAATATTGGCTGAAAGAAGGAGGAGTCATTTGTCTAAATCAAATCACTTTATTTATGAAGTTTCATTGCATTCTCAATCATGCTGAAGGCAGCCCTAGTTGTTTTTGTGAAACACATCGATACTGATTGGCCTAAGATACACATCATTCTTCAGTTCTAGTCCCACATCCGCTACTGAAACCCAAGTGATTCACATTGATTTCCTTCCCATCCATACATTTTCCTCAGTCTCGGCGCTGATTCCTTTTCCAATAAAAGAACATTTACTTAAAACAGTGGTACATATACCCGACAACCCAAAGTGGTCTACAAACAGTCTGGACTAGACTCTGTTAAATAAAGCGTATTACAAACTACAGGAGGTTCTTTTGCACTCATTTGAAGGAAATAAAAAAAAGAGAGAGATTAAGTTTGTCTAGAAAAAGAATATAAATTAACTTAAAAGCCTCCTGTTGACAAAGAAGTTGTGCTATTGTATTTATAAAAGCTTCTATAGAAAATACTTGGAATGTATAGGATTGTACAAACTGAAGCTTCAGTGACGCTCCTCCTTACAGGTTTACAGGCGAAGTTAGTGATCGAGAACACTGTTCCTAAAACATTTACACTGTGCTGTGCTATTCAGTAAAACACTGTAAGGACTGACTGTAACCTGTAAAACATTTAGAGCGTGACACTAAACACTGTTAGACATTGCTTTATCATGCTGGTGGGGAGTTTTGGTCCAAGCTAATGGAATGACTGGCTAATGAAGCTGAAAGCGAAACCCTAACCTTCCCCAGATTCCCTCATGTTCGCAAACTATACGTCCAGTTCACTTCAGGGGTGTCCCTTTGTTCTGGGCTAATGACACATCTCCGTCTGTGTGTTTCCCACGTCCAGGGAGTGTGTCACCTTTTTCTTTTCCCCGGCTTTCAATGACGACAGCTTGACTCCAAGTCTCATTTCTTGGAAAGGAATTTCATCTTGTTTCCTGGAAAAGGCAACAGGTGTACATCAAGACAAGTTTAACAGAGACAACACCCCCCAATAACTGGAAAGTTTTAAAGTAGAGTTGATTAATTCAAGAGATCAGCTGATTGACTGAGGATGTAAAATAAATCGCACCTAAGCCTTTGAGGAACTTGTTGACCCCTCTTTGCTCGCTCCCAGGCAGTGAGTCCAGATACTCTTGTGCTCTCACTTCAAAGAGGCCTGGAGACAAAATAATGAGTTAATTAGTGAAGTCAGATGTTTTAAAGGCGTTTCTGCCCTCCACTGGACTAACCATTACCTAATGCGTAATGAGTAGATATTTATGGATTGTCATGCTATGCAACATTTAACTTCAACTTATTTATTCCAGCAAGTTTCATTTATATAGAAATCTCATGTTCAAAGCAAACCAGAGTAAATTATACCAAAAAACTACATCACTGAGCTTTACATTTAATTCTTGACTTTGGAAACAGTAGGAGATAAAACTTGATTTGCCCACTTGTTCTGGAGCTTTTGATTGGATCACATAGCCCATATGGGCAGAGTTTACCTTCCATATGTTTGAACAATTTCACAACTTCTGGTACAAAAAGATCTCAGAGTAAACGTTTTCTCAATAATGACTATTAAAAGTTCCACAACAGCTAATGTAAACAAAGTTCATCTGCTGAATAAAACCATGTGACAAGGTTAAATGCTCCAGAGATGCAAAACTGTTAGAAGATACTGAAGAACAGCTAAATAAATCAACACGTGTTCTGTGTAGCAGTTCTTCTAGGTCTAAGGACTTCCTAGAAACTCGCTATTATCTAGAAAAGAGATCGACATTCCTAAAAAGTAGAAACCAATTTTTGAATCACGCAGAAGGTGTAGCTGCTAGTATTTCTACTTTAAAGATTCTTAACTTTCCTGTAAAACGAATCAAATCTCAGTACCTCTGAGGCCTTGCCTGCGCAGCTCCCTCTCCTGGATGAAGCCGGTAAACATCTGGGTCTCCATGAACACCTCCAGAAACCTTCTCAAGCTCTTAGAAGTGACCGCTTTGCGAAAGGCCTCACGCTGAAAGGAGGAGGAGGAAGGGCTGGGCAAGGTGGGGGAAGAGACAGACTCGTCGTCCCGCTCTGTTCCGCCCATGAAGAGGGAGTAATGACCCACCATCTCCACGAAGAAACGGACGAAGGCCTCCGACACCACTGTGCTGAGGGAGCTGGAGTCTGGGAGGACATACAGGAGAGAAAAAAACAGAAAAAGAGGGCTAAAAGTAAGTGAAACAGAAAAGCTTAAATGGCTTGATATTTACTGCTCTGTATGACAGAATGATCGATACATTGGGATCAGTATCACTGACTCAATCATTGTCTGGCAAACGTTTTTCCAATCAAACCTTTGTACTCAGAATGTAGGAAAATAAACTCCCTACTCACTAAGTATCCTCCAATCTCATAAATCATACTTTTTTACACATAAAAAAACATTTTTGATATTTTTTTTAGACTGAAAGTGTTCTTTTGTAGCCAAAAGAATCACATGACGTGGTTTTGCACTGCAGGATATTACTGCCTCACTAGGCCAGTTACAGCCACAACTCAAGGATCAAGGGATTGGAGGCTGTTCTGTGTATGTATCCTCCCCAAGAGGAGGCTGTCTTTTTCTACCACAGGTCCGGGAGTTTGCAAAATATATTTACTACTTAAATATATAACTAATAATGTGACACATGTCATACCTGTTACATTTGTTTTCATTAAAATGCATTAGTTCATGTGTTGTGCAACGCCCCATGTATAGGTAGCCTCGTAATGAGTTCTGACCCAAGGGTGTATGTATGAAGTAAACCTCCTCATGGTTATATAACTGCAGTAATGTAAGCATAGCGATAGGGTTACACTGAACACTTACGGAAGGTAGTTTAAGGTTTTCTGTGTTTATGACAACACCAGGCAAGTAGTGATGTGTTGTCGCACTAGCGAACAGCTCCATTGCTTTTGTGGTGCCACATTTTAACAACTACATTTCTGTTATGAGTTTCATCACGCTCTAATGCCCCTTTAAAATGGTGTAAGGGTGCTTTAGTGAAGGCTCATTATTTGGGACAAAGCCTGAAAAACTTGAAATACAAGAATGTAGCTATCCAGTTACACACAATAGTGCCGGAAAATAATAAAATTGCTCTGGAAAGTTTCCATGGAAACTTTGCTTTGGATGTACCACAAAACTATGATCAAATTACAGTATGATAAGTCTGCTTCGAGTGCCTCAAATTTATTTGATACGAAAAGCATTTGACAGCTAACATTAGGGATCTGTTTGGTCATAAAGGAAAAGTTACACTAAATAAAAGGCAAGAAGTTGTGTTTGTACAACTCTGACAAACCCAAGAATGGTAAGAATGCTTCGATTTCACCTAAACCTGAGCTTTAAGACAACTCAAACAGCGAACAAAATGTGTTATTTTGGAGAACGCAATTATAATTAGTGTAGGATTAGGTGAGCTAAATTACCTGAAACTCATTTCTTTATGAGTGCTAACCACAGACTAATCTACATCACTATCTTCAGTATATTCGGTGTCTCTACTAAAATCAGAGATACAGAAATGCATCACAATAGAACCAATAGTAAGTGTGCCGAGTCACCATTGGGCAGATCTCCTTTCTCACAGGCCAACTCCCTCCTCTTGTCAAGAACATGCTCGAGAGCCGCCTGCAGCTTGTGAGGAAGAATGGAGTCTTCATCATCCAGCTGTGGAAAAGGAAAAAAAACACATACTGCTGTGAATTTACATATTGTATCCACAAAACATCTGGTAGAATCACTACACGTGTAATGGAGCTAGATGATAAAAACTGTGAGAACAGACTGATTTGCATGGTGCTATTTATGTTTCTATAGTGTTTACCTGTCGTAGGAAGCGGCTGTTGCCGAGGTCGACCACCAGAACCTGAGCAGAGGGAGAGGGATGTCATTTCCTGGAACTATTGTTCAGCAGAGGAAATGCCCAGAATCAAAGGCACCGCAAGCATTATATCCCAAAACAAAACAAAACAACAAAAAAAGTTGTCTTACCTCTTCAATGGGCAGCTCTTTGAGTCGAGGTAGAGAGCTGGAGAGGAGGCCGACTATAAAGGGAGTTGGGGTGCAGACGATATCCAACATGGATGGTGGGAGGACAGGGATGTACGTATGCTGCCAGGTGAAGGGATAAAGTAGAGCCACTACTGCATGACAACACTGAGACAACGTGCTGTGGAAAGACAAAAACAAAAACAAAAAAATAAGATATGTGATGTGATAGAAAAATAATCTTAATTAAATTACATATCACACCTGTAAACTAATAACTGACTTTATTATTATTTGAAGAATTAATATCACCACGACCCAACGCCTAATTAGCAGTCAAACCTATCACTGTCTGTAAATTCTTTCTTTACCTTTAACATTAGTATTCTTTTAATTAGTTTTCAATCTCAGTATTTAGGTAAACATGGATAAAAAGTTGTGTTCTCTTAAGGAGAGCTAAGATACAAACTTAATCTAATGGAGACACAAACAAAAGCAACACTAAAAGGCAAACTTTTGTTTCTAAGGTCAGAAATGAACGTTTTAAACTTTTAAATGTAATGGAGAAGGATAAATAAACTTCCATAATAATATCTCAATGCTATTCAGATGAGCAGAAAAATACAAAAAAAACATACAAAATGCAAACAATACCCCAAAAAGAAGGCTCTATCAAAATCTAAAATACAAAACTAGTTTCTGCCACAAGATGGTGCTAGTGTGCTCCTCCAAAGATAACTTGTTCTGCCAGTCATTTATTATTGTGGAACATAATGCGAAAAGCTAATTTGTATTTGCTCCAACAAACCCACAGTCACCCTGACAGGAATGTTTTGGTGGAGCATGATGTAACACCTATAAAAAAAAAACTACACAGCGGCAGCAGACACACTCACTCACGCTGTTAACTTAATCTCTCGCGGGTGTGCATCTGCTCTCAGTTAATTCATTTAAAAAAAAAAAAAAAAAAGATTAACGAGGCCAAATTTCCACTGAATGGTAGAAAGTGCAAGTACTCTGCTTAAGACCTCTAGTGAGAAATGCGTCCAAATTTAAACCATGTTACATGCATTTGAAAGGGAAGGTATAGTCAACACTTGAAGTATGGCTCTGAGAAGTACATACTGTGTTGTATTTATACATCCTAAACCCTCAGGCTGTTTCTTGAAGGGACTGTTTCTACTGATGATACTGCATGTTGAAAAAAGGTGCCCCAGAACAGTTAAAGAAATACCTTTTGCAGGGACTGACCACTGTGGTAATGGCTTAAGAGTTAAAGGTTTGAGTGAACTGTGTCTGTGTGATGACGTCAGTGTGCACACGTGTTCTCTCTGCAGTCATACTTTAAAGCCTAACTCCTTCTATCTGGCATCCATGACAGTTTTCCAGAGAACTGATTGTTCCCCAAGCGACTGTATAACACAACAGCATTCCTTCCTTTCACACTCGGTTGGGATCTTCTTTTCCTTAGACTGCTTGTCGACTTGAGGTCTCTCTGTCATATCCTCCAAACTGTTTACTCTTTTCACCATCATTACCCCGCCTTCATTAATTTTAATAGCAAAGATTTATTAACCACATTAATTAAAATACCGTAATGACTCCACCCGTCCAAGAACTGAAGCTTGTCGCAAGGGCTGAACATGTGATCTTTGGCTCGGAAATCAAACTAACCGCCACCATGCTGTGCAACAATGTCTTGCTGGAGCCAACCTGAGTTTGTCGGCAGTGAAGATGACTCTGCGCTCCAGCAGCAGAGAGGCAAAAACCCGGAGCAGGAGACGTAGATTCAAAGAAGAGAAGAGACATTCAAAGTCCACGTGTTCCAGGCGGGAATCTGACGGTCGACACAGCTCTATCACCTGTAGGAAAGAAGGAGGTAAAGTGAGAGGTGGGGTAAACAAAAAAGGGAAAGACGTCCAGATAGCAATGTACATGATGCACGGGTGCAAACAGAGACACTTATGTGATTATTTATTGCACTGTACAAATGGGTTTTGCCTCCAAGAATCGGATAAGAGAGTAATTGTGCAAATCTTGTTTTTTACAGTGACACCACATCACCTCACCTCTGTCCCTGAGCCAGGTAGGAAGTTTTTAACAGTGATAGTCCTTCCTGGAGCAGGGAAGGGAGCCTCCATGATGCCTCTCATAAAAGGCTGCACCAGAGCTGGGGAGATAGCCCTCCTCTTTTCCACTTCATCCAGGATCTGGAAAAGGCAGAAAAGGACAGCCTGTAATTTAAATTCTGGAAATGAGAAATATGTATACTGTAGGCCATGTGTTGGTACTTGATCTTTCTGCTCCACACAGAGAACTCCACCTAAAATGCAATTTCTGAATCAGTAGAAGGAACATTTTCTTTGATTTCAATATTTTTAACTAAGCAATATGACAGTGTGTAACATGCAATATATAAAGCCTTAATAAATACAATGAACTACTTTAACATGGCAGGTATTTTAAATACTAGCTTATCCAAAGATGATGCTGTCCACTCCTATTTAGCGGAAAAAGTATTTGAAAAAGAAGCATTATATACTTTGTCGTACTCTGTTAGAGGCAACATTTTGTATTCAACATTTTAATAAAGCAAAAATGAAAAAGTATAAGCATCAAAACACATTTAAAGTACAAAAGTTAAAGTACTTATACAGAAACCAAATTTAGAATGATGTTGCTTCTGTATTTAAGATGAGGAAATGTGATTTATAGATATATATGTCAATGCAAGTGTAAACCGTTATGACTGAATTCCTTTCTCCATGTTTTCCTTTATTTAATCAGGTAAAAGTCTCATTGTGATCACAGTCAATTCTTACTGTAAACAAACAGTTAAAATGGCAGCGGATTCATGTTCCATCATAAAGTAATGAAGGGTGAGCTAACTCCCTATCACGCCTCCTTTGATTTTGGTCAACCACATTGGATATTATTATCCCAAACTTATTCATTATCGCCATGATGCAGTGTGGACAGCCCAACATGGTAAAATGTCAGTAGAACAAACAAATAACAGCCTGAATCAATGATGTGTCCTCCCCTACAAACCTACCACACTCATCTGTGTAGTATTAAACATTGTGCAGCTGATCTGATACAGAAGAAACATATTCAGAAAACCCTTTTATGAACATGTGTGCACCCTTACATACTTAACTTTAGCAATTGCATATGTACGCAGCTCAGACGTTTATACAAGTAGATAAATCTAAGGCTCATTACAGGGAACCTATTCCACTGCGGCAACCACATCAGCTGCATTTCATATGTGTCGTTGGACTGCAGCCAGCATTACAAGGCTCTGTGGGAAAGCGGACTGGGCAGAGGGTGGGTGGGGTTCTGTGGGCGCCGAGGGTGGTACTTTTTTTTGTGGGGGTGAGTTTGTATGTAAGAGTTTTGTAACAAACGCAGTTCTGAGCATGTAATTGCAATTAAATGCAACTCATGGATCTGGATATAGTTTGTTCATTTGTGAGTAATGCTTAAGTCACTATATCTACCTTGGAGAAGAGGTCGAAGCATCCCAGGCGGCTGACGATACAGTAGACCTCGGGGAGCCTTCGTCCTTTACCACTGGGCTGTGAACAGCCAGACAGAAAAGACAGTCAGCTTCAGAGCACAAGACTGCTCACCCAAGAACAAGTAGAGGATTAGAGCAGTGGGGCAAATCAAAGCCTTTGTTTTGCAGAGACTTTGCAGGTACATTCAGGAAAAAAAATCTGAATAGTATTACACCAAATTTAAGAGTCATGTAAGAGGGGTAAGAGAACTAGAAGACACTGGAAGAACAAATCTATGAAGAGGGATTAGCTTTATTAAAATGAATTTGATGAGGCTAGTGAAGCATTTTTACAACATACCAGTAAACGCCGACAGTAGCCAAACCGCCTGCTGCCGTCTTCACCAGTCAAAACAAATGAGAATGTCTCACTGGGGAGAGAGAATAAGGTCATTAAGACAAACTGGAAACTATTTAAAAAGGTTAAAATCATACAAAAAAAAAAACTTTTCTGGACTTGATTTTTGCTAACAAAACCTAACTCTGTACTTCACAAGAAGGTCCCTCAGGACAGGCTTACTCTGGAAATACCCACACAAAACCCGGTAAGCTCTACCTGACAGGTACTCATTGACTGTGATGACCTTCTCAGCAGGGATTGTGTCGGCCAGGTGTGTGTTCTGTGCCCCCTCCCCCATCAGACATTTGCTTCCAGGTAATTATTAGCCATCACCATCAAGGCACACATCATCACTTCTCGGAACAATGTCAACGTTGAGAGGAGGCATTGGGTTAACACAGCCCATTTCAAAGAGAATACAAAGAGAGGTGATTTTGTAATAACAAGTCAGGTGTAAATGGCTAAATCCATCATTTCTCCTTGTATGAATATGTCATTTTCAGCACCTTGTAGTTAAAGAAAGAGCAGTCATCTCTACGAGCCATTAGGTCATTTTCTCCGGGGCTTTTAGCTGCTCACTACCAAGTGGTTATTAACAAGGAAAACAGCTGAGCTATTACCACTCTACGGGGAAATTCCTGCGTCCCTGTTTTGTTTCACTTTGCTCTTGTGTGCCATGGCAGCAGTCAGACTTGGACTGACCTGGGGAAGTTGTCGACAGGCGCCCAGTCTTTGGCGTCAGGGAAACAGAACTGTGGGATGACCTTCAGCTGGTCCTCGGTCTCCCGCATGAACTTAAAGCTCCTCTCAAGCTGAATGACAGAGACAAGAACACGTGTCAAGAATTATATGCTTGTATATAAAACACTGCAAGAAGGATCAAACCATCAAAGTCTTAGTTTCATAAACACAGACTTCAGATTAGATTGATATAACACTAATAAGGAACTAAGATAAACACCTACACGTTGGACACGATGCGAAAATAAATAACTGTTTTTATGTTGCTATCATCTAGTCTCTAGTCTCTCATCTAGTTTTAGATTTCTGTGGACCTCTTTGTAATCAGAAAATATGCTAAACCTGTACTGTTACTACGTATAGTAAGAAAGATAAGAACAAATGGCTTCAACAAGATAAGAAGACAATTGGAAGTCCAGATGTTTTACATCACACTGAGTTGTACGCCTACAACATTATAATACAACAAATACAATCACTGTTTTTATCCTTGGAATTTCCATTGATGAAACTTCAGTTTATTTTATTTTCTTTGTACAGTTCTAAAGAAAAAAATTGTGTTTTTAAAACTGACACTAGGACAGACATCTATTCCTAAAAAAATTAACATGCTGTTTCCTTTCCAGCAATATCCTACAGTATATTTATAAATAAATAATGTTCCATCTCTTATTCTGCTTCAGTAATTTTTCTATCCTCTTTTACCTTCAGAGGGAACTGCTGTGTGACCTCTGGCAGGTACGGAACTCCGGCCTTGGTCTTGTGGAGCGCAACAACTATAAAATACTCAAAGAGCTTCCTCTCCTGCAACTCCATCAAATCCCTCTCCAAGGTCCGGTACCGCCCTGCCTGCCTCAGCATGGACTGGACTGACACGAGTCGCTGGCTGTGAGCTGAGAAGACAAACACAGAAGACAAATTTCATGTAAATACATCCATGTCTCACACATACACATGCGAATATGGCAAATATGTAAGGTCACAATGTACAGTAAAGCAATCTGTAGTTCCACCTGCGTATAATTCAGATGTTAGAAACACAATGGAGAAAAAGAAAACTTAGACATAAGTCAGCTGATGAGCGAATTGTTCTTGGATAGGAAACTATTTTATACTTGTCCCGCTATGTAGCCAATGTGTATGTGTGTTTTTGAGTATTTCTTTTGCGTTCTTACCTTTCAATTTCTCCTCTGTGTCACTTTCCGACTCACTGTTCTCATCTGTCACTAAATGAAGAAGAAGAAAGAGCGAAAGAGACAGCAGAGTGTGACGAGACTGCAAAAAACAATCACAGGAAACTCGGGGCACGTGGGATTCGCTCTCATTGCTTTCATTCCAGCCATAGCCACTAACACACAAAAACACACAGTCCTCTGAAACAAAAATGTAGCCTTGCACATGATGCTACGGGAATGCATGTGATGAAGTTCTGAGAATGCATGAACTTGCAGTTCACCTGAGAAATCTTTCTGGTCAAACTGAGTGTCATAGAAAAGAAATCATGAGGAAAAGCGTCTGCAGTGTGTAGAGTGCTGACGGCACTGATGAAAATATAGGACTTCAGCTTACGTGTGATAAAACAAAGAACAAATAAACATTTTTTTGAGGAGCTTTAAAAATAGGAATGTATTTGTAAAATAATAATAACACTGATAAAGAAAGCAGTAAAAGAGTGGCAACTTTCGAAACTTATCATTACCTTTATCATTTTGTTAATTTTTTGGTCATGACCAAATAATCAACTTGACTAAAAACACATTAGATTCTCTCAGGGTTTACTGTTTTTATTAAAAATAATAAACTAGAAATGTGTGTAAATATTGCACAGTAGGGTCTTCATATGATTGCCTGATTTGTATGTCTTTTAAATGTGAAGGAAGACCAAACTAGTTTCTCCTCTGGGAATTAACAAGGTTTTCTGTCAAGATTTGCATTAAAAATTACACACTGTCAGACAGTCATAGAATTAATGTCTTAGTTAGACAAAGATTATCCTGCAATGTTAAGAAAGCCTTCTTAAGTAAAGAAAATTTCTGGAACCAAACTAGGATCTACACCTGGATCTGCTTTTACGCCATAATCTAAACTGCCTTGGCCAAATTTCACAACATTTTACTGAAATCAATAAACAAGTGCTTGAGGTATCCTGCTAATAACACATAAACAAACACAAACAAAAGCACAACCTCCTTGATGCAAGCATTGCAGAGGTTTTACGTGATCTTTTACAAGCTAAGGTGTGAAGGTAAAGAAATAAAAACAGCAGTCCTGTTCATGGCCAGCTGTTATACTCGAAGCCTCACCTCTCCCTGAGCTGGACTCAGTAGACTGAGAAACCCTCTTCATGCGTTTCTTCCCTCTCCGCGCCTCGAAGATGCCATTGATTTTCACCACCATCTGGAGGAGTTAAGGGAAAAAGAAATGTCTAACTTTAAGTCTTTAAGCTAATAAACAAAATCTTCCCAGCCTCTACCAAGATAATTTCAATACGGTTTCAGTGAGGCCTTCCTTTCGGCACACTTCTCACAGGAAATATCAGTCAGAAATTTTCCTCTGCCTTACTCATCCCCAGACAGCAGCATGAGTGGACCAGCTCTGAACCTCCCCTGAGCAGCGTGTTGGACCATAAATCACCAAGCATGAGTTCTGCAAGAGGCCTCTCAGACTTCCATACCTTGGGGATTTTCCTCCGTCTGCGATTGTAAGGGTCTCCGGAGAGACAGGGGGTGTCGTCAGGGCTGCTGGGTGTTGAAGGGGGGCTGATACGGGAAGGTGAGGACATGCCAGTGTCTCTGCTGGTCTTGCGTAGCTCCGGCACCCGGAAGCTTCTTCGTTCTGAATTTTGTCTGAAGAATCCAGGCTTGCAGGAGAGCTGGTGGAAACAGGCATTTTATGGAGTTGCTGTAGTATCGAACTTATTCTGCGGAATCTAATTGTTGTTATTCGGATGTACTGTGATCAGGTACCTTAGTTGGTGTGTCGGGGACAGGAGACGAGGAGGCAGGTGAAACACATTTGCTTCCCAAACAACTTCTCTCCAGCTCTATATCTTCATAGGGGTTCTCCTTGGATGGAGGATCTTCAAAAGAAAAAAAAAAAACTTTTTTTAAAACCAAGAAATCGCTGTCACTTGGGTTGCATAACAACCTCAATAAACTGCTTTTTCCTGAGAACAGATAAGTATTCTTTCCATGTCAGTCATGTTTGTTTTGCCAGATGATTCTTACTCCAGATGTGCAGAGAGCTACCAGAAGTAGCAGCTCGCTCATATTTTACTGTGATGAGATTTTTTGCACAGCTAACGCTAAATGTAGCCACCAGTCCTCCCCTGCATTTAAGAAGCAAGGTAGTTTTCTAAAAACCTGTGCCTCTTTTGTCTCTGTCTGAATCTCTCGCTGCTCTATCAATCCATCCGCCAGATGTGACCTGTAGGTGTAGGCGAATAAAAAGGGACGTTCAGTTCCTTGCTCCTACTCTCTCTGAAGAAAACAAGGGATCAGTGTGCTGTTTTTTACATTGAATGGCGGATGAGACCGTCACACTGATCTCTATGGTGTGTTTGTGTGTGCTGTCAGCTATGCACACGTGAGTTTGCATCAGTCTGAATGCATGTACTGATGACAGTTGCCGTTCTCTCAGTCTGAAAAACACTGACAGGCATGTGGATTGTGTTTAAAGTGTGTTTATGAGAGGTTTGCGGGTAGAGGTTGAAGGCAAGACTTTGAGGCCGTGACAACAATTCATCACTGTCTACACTATGTATATCTCTGCCTCCCTGAGCTGTTTTCTGAGTAGACAGCTATAGTGAGTCTGAGATGATTTACCCATGGGATGCTGGTTAGTGTTTGGTGAACAATGTCTGAGTATTTTACTGAACAATACTACTGTATGAAAGCAGGAATCTATAAATGGATCCAAAATAAGCTGTGGCATCACTCGAGTATAATTAAACTTAATTTGATTGTTGCCAGCAAGCAGCACTCATTATACACCAGCCTCTCAGATGAAAACCAAAGACACATTGAGCGCATTTGCCAGTAATGTGCCATGGCCGTAAGCCATTCACATGCCTCCTGCTGCACTGAAAATCACAGTAGCCAACCTCAGCTACAGTGCAACCTCACACAACGCCAGTATTGTACGTTATGAAATTAAAAGGGCTCTAGGTGGGGTTGGCATAACACTGCAGACAATAAGGTAGGAACGCAGTTCAGGTTTCTATGTACAATTTTTAATAAGTGGAGCAGCATGGTTCTAAATTAAAACTGAAGCAGAAAAAACAGAGCACAGTAAAGACAGTTTGTCCTCCTCATCAACTCTGTTGCTGAACTCTGTGACACACACTGATATGAGAAAGGAAACTCAAGGGTCACACAGCATATGAAGGGCATAGAAAATAGGACAAAATAAAACCTACAGAATGCGTTTTCACTTTTTGCAAATAGAAATAAATTACACAGCATACATAGCTTTACCTATAATGTCCTCGTAGACATTCTCTTCTGATAAAGTGCGTGTTAATCCCAGTCTGGATTGAGCGTACCAGTCGACCCGGCAGCTTTCTGTGGACGACTGTAGCAGATCCTCAAATTCATAGGACTTCCTAGTGGACAGAGCAGCAAAAAGACTTGAGAGATTTGCACACCCAATGCAAAGATGCAGAGGAAGAAAGGATTTAGTCTTTTTCTCCTGAGTAAATGCATGTCATGTTGATACTTTTAAAAATATTTGATATGTTAAATAGGAAAACTGATCTGATCTTGCCATTTGCTAGTTGCAACATCAAAATGACCACATCTGTGTTTCATCATTGCCAGGGATTACAGCCCAGTAGAATAAAGTGCACAAGAACATCCACGGTTGTATAAATTCCCACATGCATTCACATACAGTTAAACTAAGCTGCAACTTTATTGGTGCATCTTGGTACATTAAATGAAGCACAACAGCCCTGCAATTAATCCCACCTTTGCTGGATCAAACTGAATTAAATGGTGAAAAATGTTTTCTTTACCCTGACTTACAATTGTAAAAGTTTATATAACATTGCAACATTTTTCCTTATGCTAGAATCTGCTTATCTAGATGTTTGCCTTTTGTCTTGTTTTGCCCATTTTAACTTTAACTTTCAAACTGCATTTGAAAACTCTGCATTTCACTGAACCTGGCTTGTATACATGCTAACGATATTACCTACTGTGGATTGTTTCTGAAGCATAAAATAAAATTAAGCAAGTTGATGAACTTCTCAACAACTTTGGCACAGTTTTAGCAAAAACCAAGCATTGCAAATAATAACGAAAGTGGGCTTTATTGCAGAGATGCTGCTCAGCACTGGATGAAGCTAAGTGCATTTAATAAACTGGTAACCTGGTGTATTTGTTGACACGTAGGCATATAGACAAAAAATGCACCCTGCAAAAGACACTAAAGAGGGAGACAGCCTGACTAAACAAAGGGCTTGACACAGCACACTTGAGCAGAGTGAGGCCTCCACATATGGTATGGAATGTAACAGATCCAAGACAAGCTCCAAACAAGAATTCAGACCACTGGAGAAAGTGAACAATAGATGTGCTCCAATACTGCAGAGTTCACATTTTTTTGGTTTCCCTACAGAGCCCTGTTTATTTGATTGCAACCATCTGAATTCAAGTGCTACTGACAACTGAATCTGAAACGCTTACTGGACATTGTTCGTGGCCAATTAAGTGTTTTAGATTCTAGGTCAGATGTTGCACTGTATAATTATGCATGCTTTTAACTTTAAACCTTTAATAATTAGAACTTGACAAAATGAACTCTCTGCAATTAATTTGTGACAGCCAAGGCACACTCACTGTTTAAGGCTACACTTCTTGTAACAGTACGATGCCTCTTTGACATGACTCAGACCTCTCTTCATGTTATTCTCTCCTTCCAGTAGGGTTTTGGAAGGAGGAATGAGTTGAGTTGATGTGTACATTCCTTGGATCCAACCAATGAGCTCATTTTGTAGGATATTTAGAAACAGAATGAGGTCACCGGTGGTTTTGATTTACAGCAGATGTGGGAGATGTTGTATACCTCAGTGTTCGGCTGATGGTAATGGGGGAAGGGTTAAAGGATATGTACACTGGACAATCACTGGTTAATCCTGATTCCACAAGAGAACTTTAAACTGTATAGTTTTATTTTTAGCCCTGGAGTTGAGGAGCTTGGGTGACCTCTACTTTCCATGTCTTACAGCAAATACTGTATATTGCAAAGTTTCAGTAAAGGTCTTAGGCCCTGTTCACATCTGGCATTAACATGGGCGATCTGATCACAAGTGGACTGTCCTAAGAATTAATATGAATACACTTGAGACACATTGGTATCCAATTGCTCAGATCACATTCAAAGGTGGTCTGGTCTACATGACCACATTCTTTTAGCAGCATGTGTTCTGCTTCACATTGAAGGACCGCCTACCCAACTGTTGTCCTCTGCGTAAGTGGAGGCATGTACTCATTTGTGCACCAGTGGCGTCATGTCAAAGTTTGTCCACACTGTCTGAAATTTATCAATTACAAATGGTCACTCAATACCCATGGAGACATGATCTCATGCCAAGTGTATACTGCGTAATTAGAGCTGTTCACTTGTGACCAGATCACCCAAGACATGTGTTAATGCCAGGTCTCGCTTGCATGTCTGCTGCAGGACAGAGGATTAAAACTCAAATTTGTTGTTCTTTCCTCTCCATGTCTTACCTGTTACCACTGTCGCGTGCTTTGTCATTCCAAGGTCTCCTGCAAACTCCTGGGGGTGGACATGTAGGTAGAGGTGGAGGAGGAATGGAGGGCAAAGGAGGCAAGTTCCTCTTTCCTTTTCCCAGGCAAGGCCCTGAAGTTGGGGTAGTGGGCGGTGTGTGGTGCTGGAAGGTTCTTTGAGGTTTAGGTAGAGGGTTTATAGATGGAGCACCTGGCTCACTGTATACGTTCTCAAAATCTCCCTCCCTTCTCCTCCGTGAGCCACCTGGTCGTGCCATGTCAAAAGTCCCAAAAATGGGCTCATTGGCTCTCTTTTCTGTTTCCTCCAGCTCCTCCTTTGAAGGAGGGCAGAAGTAATTCCCTGGAAATGCCAGTGAAGGTCTGTCAGGAACCTCCTTTGTTGCTTTCTCCAGTTTCTTGACGTGAGTTAAAACTGACTTCTTGTCTTGGGGTTGTTCTGTTGGCTTGGAAGCCCGAAACCCCCTCTCTAGAATCACTTCTCTGTCTTTGTTTGTTAGGCCTTCTGGAGATTTAGGCCTAGAATCCCCCAGCTTTCCAGCATTCTCCTTCCCTGAGTCTTGTCTGTCCCAGCTGACAAACCTCTTGCTATCTGTCCTTTGGACCTCTGAAGCTTTGGATTCCTTTTTCCTCACTGTCTCAACTTCCTTCTGCGTTGCACTTAGCGGACATGTCCCTGTAAGAGTGATTGGGGCAGGCTCCTTTTTGCCTTCCCATTGGGATATCTTATCACGGATGCTGGCAGTCTTGGCTCCTGCTGGGCTCTTGTGGTTCAGCTTACCACACATCCCGTTCTCCATGTTGGGAGTTCGCGGGTCGCTGGTGGTGGTGGTTCTCCTGTGAGTCAGCATGGTGTCAGGGGGACCTGGGCTGTCGCTCAGGCCGAGTAGAGGGGAGAGGGGGGGTTTGATGGACACAGCAGTGCCCCTCCTCTCTCGGTCGCCTGGTGACCCACACACCTCTTGGGGTTGGGGCACCGCAGACGATGGAGCCTCCCCGACCTTCAAGCCACAGCACTGGAGACTAGAAAAGAAATGCACACAGAAAAAGGATTATTTTATGTAAGTGCCATACAACCACAGGGGCCAAGTACACAGACATAAAGCAAAAAGAAAGCAAGGAAAGACATGGTTTTGTATCCACACATAATCAGAAGTAGTATATACGAATTAAACATAGAACACTTTCATACATTGATGATGATCTTCTAACAAAAAACATGTAGTAAACAACCTGTCAATTAGAGAGTCAAAATTATTAAAACAAGACCTTGTAATTAAAATAAAAACTCAGGCCCCACTGAAAATGCTACCTGCACTATCCATCCATCCATTATCTATACACTGCTTAATCCTCACTAGGGTCGCAGGGGGGCTGGAGTCTATCCCAGCTGACTTAGGGTGAAGGCAGGGGACACCCTGGACAGGTTGCCAGTCTATCATAGGGCTACACTTAGAGACAGACAACCAAGCACACTCACATTCACATCTACGGACAATTTAGAATCACCAATTAACCTCAACATGTTATTGGACTTGTGGGAGGAAGCCGGAGAACCTGGAGAGAGCTCATGCAGCACGGGGAGAACATGCAAACTCCACACAGAGAGATCCCAGTGCCCCCACCAGGATGCGAACCGAGGCAACAGTGCTACCAACTGGCAAACTAGCAAAAAGGTATTTTATATAAAATGAGATAAAAACTACATTTCAGAAAGTCAAGTCTGCCGAGAAACAAGGATCTGAACATCTAGCTTGTTATAGATTTATATATTACAACTTTAGACCAGTTACTGTGCCTTGAAACAAGTTTAAAAAAGCACTTTGTAAGACATAGCAACCTGGAGTGGAGCTTAATTACGTTTCAAGATTCAAAAGATCAAACATCACCTGTCAAAAGCAAGATGTACATCAGGGGTGTCCAATCCTGGTCCTCAAGGGCCACAATCCTGCATGTTTTAGATGCTTCCCTCTTCCAACACACCTGATTCAAATGATCAGGATCGTTATCAGGCTTCTGGGGAGCTTGATGATGAGCTGATCATTTGAATCAGGTGTGTTGGAAGAGGGAAACATCTAAAGCATGCAGGATTGTGGCCCTTGAGGACCAGGATTGGACACCCCTGATGTACACAGACCATGGAGAAGCAACAAAAGTACACCCAAAGACGCAGACAAAATATTCAAATAGCTTTCTCTTGGTGAGGGGGCAGTGCTAACCATGCAGATGAAATAACACAGGAAGAAAGCACATCGCACTGTTGTCAACTCTAATAATTTATAGTGCAATTATTTTCACAGAAATGTCCACTGCTGCCTTCAGTGTACATAGCAGAGCATTATGCTCCCCATAGCTCTGAAAAATGGCCACACATTCTGAGAACTAACAATTACGTATGAATAGATCTTTGCTTTATGGGGTAAACAAGAATTCTTGTTAAAAGAGCTCAGACATCTGCTTGGTGCCTCTGTCTCAGCTGTGAGTCACTCCTGGAACATTACTGGGTCATGACTGTTTGAACTCTGGGTTTGAGGGTCAAAGTTTACAAGCTACACACACAGCTATTTCTGGAGAGGAGGTACAAGTATACACAAACGAGGGGAGAGGCCGAAGTGTGGACGTGCATCTTTTCTTTTCTACTGCTGACCCACAAAACTCTGTTTTGGCGCAAAGCCCATTCATCAAATGATTGAATTTCCAACAAACAGAGGAAATGCGACTTCTGATGACATTGCTGGATGTGAAAACCAATAGTCGTGCAATCTGGAGGAAATCTCACAAGGAACTACAGAATTACGTTTCCTCAGAGCGTTTTAAAGAAGAGACAAAACTTGATGTTGTAACCTCCGAGGAAACTGAATAATTATCTTCTAAATTGCTCTGGGTTTTATTAGTGTGGCCCCTCTCCCTCCCTCCCCCCCTTTTCTTTCTCCCTTCGTGTTCCTTGGGTGAAACAGCAGTATTTATTAAGCATGAAGCAACAGAGGGGAAAAACTAGGTCAAATAGAAAAGCCAAGTTAAGGAGAGCGGGAAGAGGCAAAGGGGTCGAGTGAGGGTGTTACAGAAAAAGTGGAGCAGACAAATGAGGAAATCAATACTGTTTTCTTTGTCAACTTGAAAAACACTTGTGGTAAAGATGTAGACTCCTGTAGGTATTAAAAAAGCGCAAGTTACAGAAATCGTGTCTATCACCTATGGCCATAGATAGGTGGAGGATATGGGTCACGGAGGGTAGAGAAGGGAAGGGGGTACGAAGGCAAAAAGGCATCTTTGTAGCAACTCAGCAGATAAAAGAAAACATTTGAAATGGACAATCCCCCAGTAGAAATATATTTGGATTTTAAGCGATGGTAACTGACATGGCAGACCCTCGAAACAATAGAGACTGAAATCTTCCTCTAGATAATCCCTGCTACTGGCACGAATCAAAATCCCTTCATTATAATCTAAATAGCACTAATGAATATTGCAAGGATGACAGAAGGGACCTTAGAGAGTGGTCATGGAGGCATTAGACAGTGGCAGCAGGGGGGCAGTAACAGTATCCAGATGCCAGATGGCCAACTCTGCCCTGTTCTGCTCTCTCGCCCTACTATTGTTATACTGTTGACCTTAATGGAAAGGGGCGTCTCCAACTTGCTTAAGAGCAGTTCAGAGTTGAATGATGGCTATGGGAACATTTTCTACATTTCTGACGAGTTATAGCCAGCTTGTTAGGTTCACTATTGCAAGCTGTGGCAGTGGCCTGAAGAAAAGGCATTGACCCTGGCCTCTGTTGTGTACTTTAGGGTCACAACTCATCTGATGATGACAGATGAATGTTTTAGACATACTACATATAAAAGTAGTGGCTGTAAATGCCTTGTTTATGATGACAGAAGTGTGTTTTGATGCCAACGTATGATGCTGACAATCACAGGCCAAATCAAATCATTACTAGAAGACATGAGAAAAAAATGGTAAATTATTCATCGGCTCTGGAGGCACCTACCCGTTGACTGATTGGTAGATACAGTTGTCAGTGTTTGTACAGAGCAGCAGGGCCCTCCCACCGGTCATGGTGCTAGCAGCTGGCATCCTGCACAGACAGACAAAGACAGAGACAGTCACGTTAGTAGAATATATTTGTATAATGGGGTGAGTGTCCTGTTTGGCCAAACAGCTTGTTGAAACAGACTTATATTTCCGCTTATAGATCATGAAGTTGCAAAGAAAAACATTAACAAGTCAAACTGTTATAGAACATAGCTGAAAGTATTTTAGCTGGTACATTCCTACTAAATATATGGAAATAATACATTAAAAAGTGGCAGATGCATTGACTGACAAGCGGGGGTTGGGTCAAAAGCAAAACTGCTTCACTTTCGGGAGTCCTAGTTTGTGAATGTAAGCTACCAAATAGCTCAAACAAACCTCTTACTTCTGTGGTTACTAGCACGTATTTTAAAAGAGAGCTGCAGAGAAACAGACCTCACAGGTTGCATGGCGTCCTACCAAATTGCCATTCCCTACTCGGTAAGTAATTGGAGGATACAGCTGAAAACAAAGCTTTAACAGTTTGCCAGCAGGAATAAACATGCATTAGGTTCCATCATTCATGTGGCATTATGGAAAAATGTATGGAAAATACTAAAAACTCCACACTGTAATACAATTAAGCTCCATTAGAAATACCTCAGGGGTATAGAGAGAGGGGCACTCAGTTCAACTTTTTAGATTGTACTCAGGGTTTTTTCTTTTGCCAGATCTAACTTTGTTTTTGCACTGCTGGTCCTCTCTGCAGATTCTCCACTTCCTTAATTTGTTGTGAATATTCCAGCTACACATTTATCTCTGTCCTTTGTTATGGACAAGTAGTGCCAAGGCAAGTGTGACAGGTCATGCTCCAGCAGTTTTAAATTAATACTTTGTCCATTTGTCAGAGCGTAATGAAACCAGATCCACTTGGAGCGTAGCAAGACTATCCATATGTTACATTGAATTAGAGCCGCCAGTGCATCATTCTCAGGTCTTGGCCCTTAAACACTGGTGGAGGGCTGGCATGGAGCAAAAGGCCCTGGCCTCTGTCTGGCAAATATGTAGTTAGCACAAGAGAGAGGGACAGGTCAGGGTTAACTCCTGCTGGATTCATGCAACATTTAACTCACAGAGACACTAATACATGCTTTGCCACCCTGCTGCATATTCAAACACGAAACCTCATATAAAAACACACCTACATAGACCTACACATCCTGCCAAAGAGTTCATATGCCAGACCAACACATGGATTTGTGTGTGTGACTTCTACCAGATGTGTTGGGATACTTTAGGGTATTCGCAGGCCGTTAAACATTTCCTGAGCACTGCCTGGCCCAACTCCCCCTCTATCCCTGTAACCCTGCATTAGCTAACCCTGACACTTCTCTTCTTTGCCCCCCGTCTAGGGAATGTGAGCCTAATTCAGCCAAATTCCATAAATTGTTGTCCTAAATGGCCGTGAGGCAGAAATGTCAGAAAAAAGAAACAATTTCTGTAAATTACGTTTAAAAAAAAATCAGCTAAAGAGCTGAACTCTTCCCTGTGCTAATAACATAATTGGCCCTCGGGGTCCAATGTTTTGGAATGACTCTGGGCTTGTACGTTTTCCTCTTCGAGAATAAAAGAACAAGTGGACACTAAGGAAAAGTTGTGGTCTCGTCTGACAAGAATCAGTCAACAAGTACAATATGTCATTTCTTAGTTCCTAGGTTTGCTCACAGCTCAAGCCATTCATTCCTTTGTCTTTAGCCCCACATCAGTCCGAGGCCTAGCCCCCCAGAGAGAATAGAAAGGAGGAGGAGGAAGGTTTGCGTCAGCCATCCACTGGCCTGTAGGCCCAAATTATTTTCAGATGTGAGCCAAGCGGGGGTCACATGTTTGAGGGGAAACATCAACCAATTTTTTTCTTCCTCCCCCCCGATGACTTTCTCCTTACTAAAAAACCTAACGCAGAAATGAAGAGCAGAAACCCTGTGTGGAAAGGTGGGTGGGCAAGAAGGACTTTAAAGAATGTATAGAGTCTTCTAGTTTTACAATAATTAAACTGTATAACTTTTACGGCTGAATTTTTTTCTGATTCGGGAAGGGTGTTGCATGTCACGGGGGGAGAGGAAGGATGGGAGATATGAACAGAGGGAGCAAAGCACAGAGGAGGGGGGTCTGGGGAGACAGGGGTTGTCAAAACGAAAGAGGAAAGTGGATATTGCAAAGAATAATATAAGTATACTGTTGCACTGTGAAAACAGTGCAGGCTTTTAGGCTGTCCCACTTCATTGTTTGGAGCCCCAAGGCCAAAATAGAAAGTGCTTCTCAGTGGAGATTCTAGTGCCTTAAAAGGTAATTTGGTATTTTCACACAATTCTGACTTACTGGGCTCGAACATATCTCAAACTTGACTCATACAAGCCAGAGAGTGCTTCCCAGCACTTGCCTGAACCTGACAAGCAGTAGTGGAATCGCATCTTGTAAAAGCAGTAAATTTGACAACATTGCTAGTTTTACAGCATTCAGTTACTGAGGAAACTCCTTTCGGGAGGGAGCAAAGGGCTTTTGTCTCCTACAACTATTAGCAACTATTGTTAACACTGACCCCAGAGCAAGATGGCCACCATGACAATACAGAGGCTGAGGGAACCCATCTGCTGAGGCCAATAAAAACATCACAGGGAACTGCAACCTAAAAGATCTCTACCTGCCCCGCCCCCTTCAGCCTCTGTGCTGTGAGGTGCGACAGGCCATACATGCTACAGCAGAGGAAATGGAAGTGGTATTGTTGATCAGCAGCTAGATGGATGAAGGGATGCTGGGTGGAGGGGACAACAGTGGAAAGTTCTTCAGAATGGAAATTATTTGCAATGTTTCTGACACATCTGTTCAATGTTGTGTAAAATAAAAATCAATAAAAAAAGCTCTATTGTTTTTCACCTGTTGACTCTACTGGTGGTTTTAGCTTAGAGTATTTACAGTATTTTTCTGATAACCTTTAGATGAAAAACATTACATACATTTATTTCATAAAGGTCAAACTCCAGTCCTGGCCACAGATGAAAAGCACTGGTGCTTGCTGACCAGCACAGAGTCCGCAGTACCTTAAAGACTTTACTAGACAGAGATAACAGCCAACAGGGTCAGAGGCAGGGCATCAGAGCCAAGCATCAGTTGCATAACAAACCCTGAAGGGGATTTCTATCAACAGTTGGACACTGGGTATCAGCTCATGGGCAGATTCTTCTAAACATGCACTCAGATACACTACTGAGAGAAGAATGTTGTTTATTTCCGCCTAACAGTTGAAGCATGGTGTTGTGATGCTGTCATAAGTAGTATCTCAGGTATTGATTTACACGGCCTATTCTAAAAACGTGCTGTAAAGTGGAAAGTAGAGAAAAGAGGTTATGTAATGTATGTGAGCAAGTACAATGTATCTGTAACAAGAGAAGTCTATAGCCATGCTTCTGGAGCAGCTTACTCACCCAGAGGAAAACAAAGCTATTGAATCAATAAAAGTGAGACAACTTTGCTATTTTATAGCAAGCACCTAAGGGTAGCACCCGTGGAGACGATGCTGCACGTGCATCAAAACGGTGTATGCACAGTTATTACAGAACATCACAGCTCTGTATTTAAGCTTCAGCAGATAGAATAAAATTACCTTTATTGCCACTGCATAGAATACAAAGAAATGCAGTCTTTACATATCCCAGCTTGTTTGGAAGCTGGGGTCAGAGTGCAGGGTCAGCCACATTACTGCGCCCCTGGAACACACAGAGTTATAGGTCTTGCTTCAGGGCCCAGCAGTGTCAATTTGGAGGTGCTGGGGCTTGCACCTCCAATGTCAGTAGCCCAAAGCTTTAACTGCTAAGCTTCCACTGCTCCCTGCAGAACCTTTGGCTCATGTTGTAGTTTGTCACTCAAAGGTACAGGCTACGGTTAAAAGATGTACTGTTCAGTAAAGTTGGAAGTCTGTTAGGAGTTCATAACTGTTTCAATGACTATTTGAAAGAAGGATGAAAAGCAAATCATCACAGGCAGGGGTAAGACTTGAAAATCGATTAAATATGGGGAAATTACATTTTCAGGCAGTCTTTCTTAGAAAGCATTCAATTGTTTGTACTCGTCCACATTAGTATAAATATTAAAAAAAGAGCGCTCAAAAGAAATGATCTGTATCCTGCTCACTTTATCGCCCCGACACACTAACTGCTGTGTGAAGTAAGGAGTGTGAAAGTTAACCATTTTAATGGCACTTCTGATGAGGCATACAGCACATGCAGCTTAGGCATAGCTGCTTTGTTGGCTGTACTTTCAGCTTATCTTTTCTCCAGAAGTAAACTACCACACTTAAATAGTCAGCTGAAGTGTTGCAAAGATCTGAATTGCTGACCCAACTGACAAAGCAACAAACAGATGCACAAACACCCCATATGACTGCCTACGGTATCAGTAGCACTATGACTCTTGTATAAGGAAAAAAATTAAAAGTTACAGTAAAGCTAAAGAGACTAAGCTGCAAGTTAAAATATGTGCAAATATTTGACATTTCAGAAAGCCACTTTGTTTGGGATGATTATAATTAGCTTCACCATCAAGCCTCTTTCCAGGGGACAGAACTCTTTTTACATTGGGTCACATTCTTGGGTGGTCCTCCAGCTACATCACTTATGAATTGTAACAGCTACCAGTTATCAGTACTTGTGTGAATTACGCTGTCAGTGATAAACTAGAAAATGTGATATTTCTCTTTCCAGAGCTCCTTGCTGTAAAATGCAAGGCAGGTCTAAACATAATCAATTGGCTTTTTCAAGTTTGTAGCCTCACGGATGATGATTTCTGTGTTTCCTGTGCTGTATACACACATAATCTCAAGTGTTGATATTTAGCAATAATGTGACAAAGCGTTGCTATTGGAGTGGACTTAGCTTTATCATTATATGCAAGTGGCGCTGTCAGTGTTTCATAGTTAGCTTTATCAGACCTTTGAGTTGCTGTCAGTGAGCTGTGGGCTGACTGCTCTTACAGTGCTCCTGAGGCCGACCTGTCTGCCTCTTCCCTACAGCT